GTGTGTGTGAGGTTGGGTCCTCAGCCAGGTCACGTGTGTGTGAGGTTGGGTCCTCAGCCAGGTCACGTGTGTGTGAGGTTGGGTCCTCAGCCAGGTCACGTGTGTGTGAGGTTGGTCCTCAGCCAGGCCACGTGTGTGTGAGGTTGGTCCTCAGCCAGGCCACGTGTGTGTGAGGTTGGTCCTGAGCCTCATGGGGTTGTTCACGTCAACTGTCTACCTTCTCAGCCAGTCATTTTGTGTTTTACGCTTCAAGTGTCATGTTTCCTTTGCAGAGATTTTGTCTTTGTGTCCCAAGACCCGAAAGATCAGCTTCTTTTAGGGTGAGTTGCATTGAGGGGTTAAACCTGTCCTACCAAACATTTATCTAGTCTTAATTAATTGGTAAAATACTGGGCCAGACAAAGAATCATATGGGTGATTGTCCTGTTCTGTCCAAACCATCTTGAACATCTAGGAGAAGTACTGTCTTCCTAATATTGTGTGTGTGTGTGTGATGTAGAGTCTCTGGGCGATGACCCCTGTGTCTGTGGGTCCTCTGATGCAGCTGTTCTGGCCCGTTTCAGGCCCACTTACAGCACCTCGAAGATCCTGGAGAAGACCGGGTTGACGTTAGCCGATATTGATGTTCTCGAGTTCCATGAAGCTTTTGCGGTGAGTTTGTAGTTCATCTGTATGGCAGCGTGTTGCTGCCACCGTGGTATAAGAAACTGGGCAAATGTGATTTTATCATGGTGGGAGCAATACACTGTAGATCTGTTTGCCTTTGCTGTTTGATTTCTTTTTGTTACTGTACATTACATATTTCCAGGGACTGTATGTTTACATGAGGTTCAGCAGGCGATCAGAAGGTCACTGGTTCACCATTTAGTCTTCTTCATGTAGCCAAGACTTTGGTGATCAGATATCTGGGATCAAAACAAACTGCCAGCATTGCTTACTATGTACTTTTATAATGTTTCTGCAAGTGTTCCAAACTGCATTTTGCAATGCCTATGCTTTGATGTCAAATTACAAACTTAACAAAAATCATATTTACATATATACATTATACATATTTACAATATACATTAAAATAAAGATGAGTGTAATGGCAAAACAAATATATAAGAAATAATTGATTTGCCATGAATTAAGTTTATGATATTTGAAGAAATGTGTGATCATGCCCCAGTCAGTGAAAGTGTGTTTCCTACCCCTAGACCCCAGAGGGGATAACCTGGTACAATTGTTTTTTGTTCTTGTTTTTGTTTTTTTTAGGGCCAAATTATGGCAAACCTGAAAGCCATGGACTCGGATTGGTTCGCCCAAACCTATGTTGGAAAGAAGTCGAAGGTAACTTAAGCACTGTTGTTAAATTTGGGGAGAGCTGAGAGTTAGTGCTGATCTTCAGACGCCTGACAGTGGTCCTGTTGGTCCAGGTCGGGTCGGTGCCGATGGAGAAGTTGAATACCTGGGGAGGCTCCCTGTCCCTGGGCCACCCGTTCGGGGCCACCGGCTGCCGGCTGGTGACCACCACAGCTCACAGGCTGCGCAAGGAGGGGGGGCAGTATGGACTGGTGGCGGCCTGTGCTGCGGGAGGGCAGGTAATCTGGCAGGCGGGGGTCCTGGGTCACCGTAAATCTGCCCTGCGCATGACATGTTATACAGGGAGTCACTGTGTACTGGCCTGTTTTCATCTGCTTTTTTAACTGCTGGATAAGACAAAGAATAATCGCACAGCAAAAATACCTCCTTAGCAGTACCTGAGAAGGCTTTCCACCCCTTTTTTATGAACTTAAGTAATAAGAACATTAGCAAACTCAGTGTTTCTCTCGGAAAGATGTTTGTCTCACTCTCTGATTTATTGTTGGTGTCTTTTCTAGGGTCATGCCATGATTGTTGAAGCATATCCACAGTGACTCTGAGGTGAGGGAGCCTCTGGAGTCACAGGAGAACCTGCCTGAAGGGTCTTGGTCAATTGAACTACTTTGCCTGATGCTAATAATCGCTGTAGGGAGGTTGTACTGTCGGAGGTTGCAGTGGCTTCGAGGGTTGGGGAGGTCTGATAGCATGTAGCATCTTGAAAACTGTGTCCCCCCCCACCCCTCTGACTGTATCAGTGCTTGTGAAATAAGGCGCTCCGTCCTGTAATAACAAATAAGCCTCACTGGGACAAAATAGTTTGCTGCTCTCTTCTGTGATATCAGCATGTTGATTTGTACCAACAATAAACTAATATTTCAGTTGATGGTCTTCAATATCCTCTTTCATCTTCCTCCATCGTGATGGGTTTTTTGCCAATTAAATGTTCAGACATCCTCTTTGATTAGGCCAAAGTATATGAATACAGCCACCCCAGTACAGTGGCGATGGATGCTGTGTTTTCTGAGGTGTATTTGGTGCTTTTAACTAATGGCAAGTTGATGTCCGTCTCCTGTGTGCTAAACAAGAAGTTAAAGGGAACGTTTGGGCACCTGTGCTGGGATTGGCACTGCAGTCACCTGTCCAGTTTAGCAAATTTGACACAGTGTCCATTATCTGCAAGTTGGCTGTGAAAAATGGGAATTGTTTTGAGGAACTTGCTGAAAGATCACTGAAACTAAATAAAAGCCAAAACTATGTAATGGTTTGGGTCATAAAATCATACTATATATAAATATTAGTGCTATTCAACATGTTTTATTGCAACTGTATACTATACTTTTAATATGAAAAGTTATTTTAATGTTTCAAGTGTTTCTAAAATCTTGGTGTTGGTATGCTGCACATCTATGGAGTGGTGACTATATATGCAAAAATATTGAGTCACACGTCAGCTCTCTGTAATGGCTGAGTACACATTACCCATGATAACTGTCATGGCCTTTTTCCCTCTATTAAAATTGATGAGTCTATTCCTCTCTTGTACTAGTTCTTTACATACACAAAAAATGCAGAATAAAGGGTAATAAAAATCGTGCGCGTCCATTAATCCCTGATTAAAAGTGCTGTCGGTGTCTCAGAGTGCGGTGACGTGGGGCCTGTATTACGAAGAGGGGTTACTGGCTTATCGGGATAACTTCTTGGATTTAAGGGCAAAATGGGCAAAATGTAAGTGAACGAATATGAAGTCCATTTAAACTGTGGTACGTTATAAATCCGACAAGCTACCACTGAACTATGAAGAGAGGTTCACATAGGGAGAGTTAACTAGACAGGGCCGGTGTTCTGTCGATATATTCTGTCTTGTCGAAAAATGCTACCGTAGTGCTAATTCGATAGCCCTAACTCTTACCCTAACCCTAACCCCCCAAAACCCTTACCTTAACCCTAACCCCAAGACGGTGGAACTGCATAAGCGCAGAAAGGCTCGATAGCACGTCTCGATAGGTAGTATTTTTCGACAGAACACCGGTTTTATCAGGAGCGGGTTACCGATGGGGTGTGAGTCCATAAGCAGCGGCCGTGTTTGCCATCACTGAAATCATGCTTTTGCGTTGAGACCCGACGTTTGTACTTTGTTACGGACAAAAAGCTAAGATAACACACATAAAACATTGTATTGGATCAAAGTAATTCTATGCAATCAATGAAAAACTGACAAACCACAGATTTTCGTTTCTACCAATTGTAAGTTTGTTTCAGTTTCCGGCTAGTTTTCGAGTATCATTTGCCCGTATAGTTTCATTTTACTTTTGATAGGAGAAATGGTTTGATTATCATTTTCGTTTCAGTATTTGCCAATAATAATTGAGACTGTTTATTGGTTAAATCTCCAAGGGGGGTGGGCGAGTGAGAGGTTTGGGATGTGGTCAATAAAACCGCTGAGTACAGAAACTGAGGAGGGAATAAAGAGCCGAGGCAGGACAGAATAAAGTGAAGACTAACTTTAATACATGAGTGAGGGAGTTAATGACGGCGGGTGACCCGGCTCAGGGCTCCGCTAACGTCGTCTCGCAAATTGGAGGTATTAATGTAACACCAGCGCAGACTTGCAAAATTTGCCTATTACTGTCTTTAAAATGAGATAAATTCATTTGTGTGGTTTTCAGTAAATTTTCTAGAAACGTATTGAATTACTGTGTACTTGTCATCAGAGATTTCTGTTTGCATTCAAGAATCGTTTCTTTCGGACACTCTGAACTCATTTCAGATGGCAACTTTGGTGTTTTCAATCATCTGTGATTGCAGCAGTCAGATCATATTGAAAATAAATATTTTCGATGACTGCCGTCCTACAACCTCCAGTAATCAAGGAACTTCTGTTGGAGATGTCACCGTTGTCACGGTAGCAGGAGACAACTACTGGAGCGACACTCGGAGCTCACAGGGCACCATGGGCGCCCCGATGCGCAGCAGGAAACGCAAGCGGTCTTCTGACAGCGCCGCAAGTTCTTCCAGCCCAAAAGCAAAGAGGATGCGGCTGCACTAGCCGGTGTAGACCAGTTTTGGGGAACGGAGATCAACCTGACACGGGGCAATTGGTGAAGCTGTTGTGAGTTGCCATGATGAACACACGATTTTAATATGACCGAAGTTGTCCAAAGTACATGTTTTTCAATGTTCCAAATCATTTAA